GATAGATAGATAGATAGATAGATAGATAGATAGATAGATAGATAGATGCCGGAGAGTATCTAGAAGCCTGGCACTCTGACAAATCAGCCATCAATAGACACATTGACATAGACATTAACATCATATCTACACTATGCAAAAGAGATAATCAATTAATCAGTCCAAAAGAGAAAAAGACTCCAGCACCTCTCCATCAGTAATCAGCACTCGGATCAGCATAGATTAACTCCAAAGTTAACTTCAGACCAACAATCAAGCAATCAAGTAAGCAATCAAGAAACTGCCAAAGAGCCATCAGTAAACAGCCCAACCAAAGAATCCATAGCCCTAACCCTAACCCCACCCACAGAGACAGGCAGGACACCAGAATCTAAACTGAGAGCAAACAGCACTCCTTACTAGCATGGGTGATGTTAGCTGGTTAGGGAGGGCAATGAAATGTCTGCAAAAAACAAACAAGCTTCAGAGAGCACCAAGGATACCCCTCCCTTCCCGCTTCCTTAAATAAATCATGTTTTCCAAAATGAGATAATACGAATACATTGTTGATCTATATTGAAGTCCTGCAAGTATTAGAGATCTAGACCAAATTCCAGAGAAAAACATAGCAAAATGTACCTCTTTCTATATTAAAGTAAAGAAAGGACAGCAGCCGAGAATTGGCCTCACCAATGGCATCAATGTCATATTAAAAATACATGGCTTTCAGCTGCTTTAAAAAGACTGAAATGAAAATGTATTCCATATTCGCAAATGAGATAAACTGTGGAGCTATCACATTTCAGAACGTGTTGCAAAGACACCAGATCTCAAGAACGTAAAGTTCACTTGGCACAAAGAGACATCCCTGGAATATGAAAATCGAATTATGGACAGCAAAGAGATGGGGAAATGGAATTTCATCCACATGATCCAGGTAGAACAAAGCACATTATTATGTGGCCAGACCACTGTTACTGAGATATTACATTAATGGGCTATTTTTCATGCATGTTGTATTACTTTAATATTACAAATTTGCTCTTTTTATTTATAAACTATTTTCTCTCGCTGTAGTTTTACCTTCCTGACCTGATAGTTATCCTGCTCTGTAGAAATTGGGATGGGTGGGAGATATAACTCAACATACAGACAGGAAATTTTTTGCAAATATTTGAATTATAAAATATGCAAAATATTTCAAACATTTAACAAAACATTCCAAGGAATCTGCAAACCCATTGTTGAAAGAAATATCCTTCTGGGTTCAGTTCCAAGTGGGGGAAAAAGACACTGGAAACATGGAGGCTATTTGGAAAGATGGTTTAATGGTGGACAGCAGGACCACATGGCTTGGAGCCCCAAAGTGAAAAAGAAAGGATGATCACATACTTTAAGGTGAGAAGGTCAAGAAGGGAAGACCAAGATGCTAAGAGACCCTTATATAACCTCTGTTGGGCCCCACCTTAGTGTTTCCTGTTCCTGTGTAAGAAATATATCCCATTGGCTGTCAGACTCCCAGGGGCAGGGTCTTAGCTAACTTTGTAGGCTTTTTTCTGGACCACATGGCTTCACCTGAGTGTTGGCTGATACAATCTTCCCAGGTCAGGTGGTGAGATGGGTAGACCCTTTATTATGTAGAATACTCTGGCCTAGGCCTTAATGGCCCATTAGCAAAGGTGGGGGTGTGTGGTTTGAGTTTCTGCTTCTCTGAGTTTCTACTTTACTCTTTTTAGGGGAAATATTCTGCCTTTTTAATATTCCCAGGATATTTCATTTTTCTAGAAGAGGGGTGGGTGCTAACTTCCTACACCATCTCACCTTGAAATGATCCTTCTCATTTTTAGATGCTGTATTATGTAAAAGACATGCCAGCTACCATTAGATTCTTTCACAGCCTCTTGGAACCTGGGGCCAAACTCCTCATTATTCTTGTTTCAGGTAGGTTCAAAGCTGAATCCTAAGACATCCGATTTGTGTAATTGTAGTATTTTATTATTTATGTACTACAGGTAGTCCTCAACTTACGACCATAATTCAGCCCTACATTTCTGTAGCTAAGTGAGATATTTGTTAAGTGCATCTTGCCTCACTTTATGACTTTTCTTGCCACAGTTAAGTGAATCACTGCAGTTGTTAAATTAGTAACACAGTTATTAAATGAATGTGGCTCAGATGGTTGCAAAAAGTGATCACATGACCCCAGGACACTGCAACCATTATAAATATGAGTCAGTTGCCAAGTGTCTGAAGTTTGATCACATGACCATGGGGATGCTACAATGGTCATAAGCATGAAAAATGGCCAAAAGTCACTTTTTTCAGTGAAATAATAACTGAACAGTCATTAAGTGAATTATTGCAAGTTGTGAAATGCCTGTATTGAAGTAGTGGTCCATAATGTGCACCATATAAAAGTGTTATGTTGGCCACCAGGAGGCACTATAGGACTACTTTCAACCTATTTGGGAATCGTCAGACATGTATAGCCAGACGTTAGTCTATGGCAGGGTTATGCAATTAACTTTCCTAAGAAGCCCCATCAGAAACTGGGACTGTGGTATGAAGGGCTGAACCAATAGGGCTGTGAGGGTGCATATGCGTGCACGCACACACACACACACATATGTAAAAACTAAACTAGTTATTTGTCAACTTTTTAAACCTTGATCCAGAAACTGACAGATGAAATCAGCCAGCTTTTCCCCATGTACTCTCTGTCTTATAGTACAATTAGTCATGTTTCTATTTCCTTGCAAAGAAAACCCAGCTATGTCACCAGGAATGCTGCTCCCAGTGTGCATAGTGAAAACCAGATTGTATTAAAATATGATTTGCTGGTCTTTCATTTTGTGGATATAAAAAGTGAGCTACAAAAAATTATAAAGTGACCGTATCAATATAAAGATAACCCCAAATAATTCATTAGTCCCATTGAACTTGAAATATATTTATGGAGTACCAGAGCAGATTCTAAAAAGAGGAAAGGGATGGGGTCTGAAACACTTAATTCCTAGGCGTGGGGGATCCAATTTCTATTAATGAATTCATTCATGTGATTTTTTTCAGAATGGCACCCATAACATTTGACTGCGTGTGGCAATAAGCATATAGCTAGAAAGTTTTCTCCATCTATTTGGCTGGCTCATTTCCATGTTAAAACTCTTCATTTCATTCAATATTGTGATGCTAGGTAAAAAGCCCACACTAGAATGGTTATGTCTGAATAAGAAAGATATATTCAGATTATCTGAAAAATGAAATATCAGTGATTGAAATAATGAAGCATTTGTTTTTAATCTGGTAAAGTAAGTAACATTTTTAGGATTAGTGCCTAATGCAAGTCTTATGGGTACAAACAGCCAAAGTTAAGCACTTTCAGGTTTCATTGATTTCACAGTTTGTATTTGTTATTCTTGGGTTTATGTTGTGAACAGAACAGTATGTACACAGGAACAAGGAGAGGGATGGAAAAGAAAGATGGGTTTATCAAATACCACTCACAAAATAGCAGTCTAATAATACAGAGCAATTATCATGGCAGGATCTATATAACCCAACTCAATAGGACTCTTATGAACACAAGTACACACTTCCTCTAGATTTTTGAAAGAGTTATTTGACTGGTTATGTTTTCAGTGAAAACAAAAACAATATTTTTTGTCAAATGCTTAGCCGGTAGCAAAACATTGCGCTTTAACCTGGAATTACCAAATTAGGGATTATTTCTCATTTTATTTTACTAACTTCATATGTTTGAGTGCTGTTGCTAAAGTAAGGATAGTTTTTAAATCTTAAAATAATCACATACATAAAAAGTAAAGGTTCCCCTCGCACATACGTGCTAGTCATTTCTGGCTCTAGGGGGTGGTGTTCATCTCTGTTACAAAGCCGAAGAGCCAGTGCTGTCCGAAGATGTCTCCATGGTCATGTGGCTGGCATGACTAAACAACGAAGGTGCACAGAACGCTGTTACCTTCCCCCCAAAGTGGTCCCTATTTTTCTACTTGCATTTTTACATGCTTTCAAATTGCTAGGTTTGCAGAAGCTGGGACAAGTAAGAGGAGTGCTAGGTAGGAGTGCTAAGTAAGTGGTGCTAGGGATTTGAACCGCCGAACTGCCGACCTTTCTGATCGACAAGCTCAGTGTCTTAGTATGTATTATATACATACAATTAGACATGATGAAGGGCATTCTTATATTCAAATCACAGAGATGTGTATACATAAGCAGTACCCTAAAGAAACAGGACATCTCATGCATCAAATATATGTCTGGCCTACATCTTTGTAGACAGAAGATACATCATTGAACACCCTTTTCTCTTAATATGTACATATTGAAAGTGAGTTAATCAGGGGGAAGATACCATATTAGATATCAAGTGCTGACTTTACACTTACAAGAGAAATATAATCTTAAAAGCTGTATTTCAGAATAATTACTGATAAGTACACAGATGCAAAACAAATGTATACAGCAACCCAAATGTTATATTGATTATCTACCCTTTGCTGATAAATCTTGAAGCATCTGAAGAGAAAGGGGACATTTACAAGAAATTAGGAAAAAAAAAAAAAGGTAAATGTATTCTGACCTGATTTTGGATATTTTGAGTTGTTGACTTTTTAAAAACTCAAAATATTTTTCTGTCCCAAGCCTGGCACCCTTATTACATTTTGAATCTTACTCTTATTTCTCTCTTCTCCAGCATACTTAGCAGGCACAAGGAATGCAACAGGTAGGTGTGTAGAAGCTCTAAGTCAGGAATGTCCAACCTTGGCAACTTTAAGATTTGTGGACTTCAACTCCCAGAATCCCCCAACCAGCATGGACACCCCTGCTCTTAGCTAACTGAATCTAGGGCACCTATCAGAAAATGTTTATGGGGGCATCTATTGGAACTGAGATACATCCATGTGCAATTTCTTTTCTGCCAGCCATTCCTCACTTGAGTAAAAGATAACAAAAGAAAGAAGACAACCAAAGACAATCAGTTAAGGAAAAGATACGTTATTCCATCATTCAGAGTGAATTGTGTGAGGTACAACAGAGTAGATAAACATCAAAAGAGGTGAATGAGCAACGGAACAGAAGAAGCCTTTGCTAAAATAAGACTACCCTCAACGTAGTCCATAAAACCACCTCTAGCACTTTGGTACCAAGTCTTATGTCGAAAGCTCTCTGGTGCTACTCATACCTGTTCTTTGCAGGGCAGCCTGCCTGAGGAGGGATTCCTGGTGAGTTGTGCTCAGTGCACCGTTTGCCTCCTCATCTAATTAAAAAAAAGTATATCATGTGAAATGGAGAGTAGGAATTTGTTAAGAAGCATGCAGGACATCAGCTCCGCCCATAATTCAGTTGTCGGTGAAACCAGGCCAGCTATGAAGAAAGACACAGGATTGTTTTTAAAGATAATATCCTCCTCTCGCAGCCAGTTTGCCACAAAGTCTTAAAAAACACAAGTCTAGCACCGTATGTTGCATCTACAGGGAGTGATTATAATAATGTGCCAGTCAGGTGGTGTATAATTGCTCCGTTTCAGAAATGGCATTGAGTCACAGAACATTGACACCAGTGCATTCCTCGCAATTAGTGCTCGGCATTCATTTCCCACCACTGGGGGAGGGAGAGACAGGGAAAGAATAAATAACACAAATTTGTTGTGCAGCATCCATTTAAAGCTGACAATGTTTATGTTTCCGAAAGAAACTCTTTCAAGACTGACTGTTTTTCTCCCCCCCTCAAAAGGCAGACAAGTAGCTTTATTAACATGGGGGATTTGCAGTCATACTTCTCAGCAGGCCCTCATTAGTCCTGAATTTATTGCTTTCCTATCCAAAGGGGCCAGGAGCTTTGGCTTTTTATAAATGATTCACATCAGAAATGCTGAATCATGCCACCAAGGGTACCAAATAAATGAATTAGCTTGGTGCCCCTTCCTACTGTTCCTGCTAATATATTTTTCTCTCTCTTTCTCTCTCTCTGTGGTAATATCTGTATATCTAACATGCAACCAATTCTTAAATAAAAATAACTCCTTTCTCACTGCAAGGGTTGCCAGCTGAGTGACCTAAGATTGCCAAACATTTTAAATAATTTGGGACATCGTTATAATAGAATTTCATGAATATAATGGAGCCCTCCTACCCTGTCATCTTGTCACTCTATACAACTTTATGGAAACTACATTAAAGTCTCATGCAGCCCTGGCTTATTTTAGGCCTACTGTAAATCAGAATGATCCTTTGTCAAATTTTCTTGCTTCTGTCTCCATGGTTGCTTCTGAATTAATTACAATTGCCTATATTGGGAGCATATATAAGTCGATCTCTCAGCTAAATCATATGAAAGTTAATTAGATTTTAATTAATCATGACTGAAGCTGTATCTTGATGCATACATGCACTACATGGACTTCCTTTCCAGTAAATCACCAGGTTTAGGCCGAATGTACTATTTTCCTGCTTTAACGGACTGACATGAACCTTTGCTGATCTAATATACTTTGGATGTGACTGAGAATTTTGGGAATTAAAGTCTAAAATATTAGGTGGGAGAAAGCCAACTTCATCTCTATTAAAATATTTGTTTATAAGATTTCTGCCTCAGATTTTGAATGCTAGTAGACAGTCTCTGGACCCCCTTTTTTAAGCTGGTATATTCAAATTATGTTAAATAGGGATTACAGCTGGACCTTGAATTATGATCATAATGACATCTGCCCATCACAGACTTAAGTCATGACAGACATAAAGTGACCCATGGGACTGATCCAATTTTATGACCTTTTTGGCAGCGATTGTTAAATAAAGCAATAAAGTTCACTATGGGTGTGGTTTTGCCAAAAATAGAAGTAAATGTTGGTTTTTGGCAAAACCGTTGTAAAATGTGATCATGTGATTGTGGGACGCTACGAACAGCTATAAATGCAGTCTGGTTGCTGAGTGCCTGAGGTATAGTCACGTGATGGGGCGGGGAGCAAAACACTGGAAATTTGAATCTGGATTGTGAGTACCCCTAGGGAGGTCCATTGTAACTTCAATAGTCACTAAGTAACTGGTTGTAAGTCGAGGACTACCTCTATTTCCTATAGGTAGAAAGGAGAATGCAGCTTTGAAGTTCAGGATCTCTTCTGTAACACATAGACACACATACATACACACATTTCCACATGTCCTTGTTGTTCTACCAAACACATAAACAGCCATCATTGTAAGAAATTAATTTCCCATCCTTCAGAAAGGATATACTTCGATACTATATGATGAGATAACCTAAGAAAAGGTAATTGTTATTTACATAATCCCTTATCTCAAAACCTTTCCCTCAACGTCTAACATCTGATTGCAGATTCAAAGGATGACTTTAAACCTGAATAAATGTAAACTAAAGTCAAGAGCTCTTGAGAGACACAGGGAGAGAAATGAGTGTGAAAATACTCAAATCCTTCTCCCTCTTCCAATAAAAGTGTTTTATTTGAAACGTACAGTTATGTGTAGTGATCAAAGCCTTTCACTGCTACAATGATTTCACTAGCCCCTTGAGCAATTGCTTCCAAAATGGCTGTTCAGCCCAGCTCTAAACCTGCTCTTCTAGATGATTTGGAGATTTATCAACCAGTTTCTGATTTATTTGTATGGGGTGGTGAGGAGTCAATCATGAGATCAGGTCGGGCCTCAGTGATGTTCCCATTCGCGTTTGGAAATGATCTTCAGCTTCTAAATTATGTACAAAGCTGCAGCAGCACTGAAAGAGATTGAAAAGAGTAAGAAAATATATAACCACCCCAATTCCAAGATATGTAATTCCAAGATATGTAATGCCACCCCTGTTCACTGGGGATAATGCTCATAAAGAAGGGCTCTCTAATCAGTTTGCGTGTTGAAGCAACTTGGACACAGATTTAGGGTATTTGTGGCCTGCAAAAGTGTCAAAAAGGCAAGGCATGTGGCAACTTTCTTATTTGAGACCATCTCTGGTTTCAACCTGACACATTCCTTTCTCTCAATATCTAATTGCCAAAGTCTTTTTCTTGTTACTCTGCCCATATTTTGCCTCTTGTTAAATCTGTGCAGACTGTCTCTGGCACTCCTGAACCCATGCAGTGAATTGATTTTCCTCAGATTTCTTCCCAAAATCGATCTTTTTCAGTTAAGAATTAAGATACCTGACTGATCCAATACCATTTGCTACCTTCTCCATTTTTATCTCTTCTGTGGGACTATACTCACTCTTAAAAATCTCCAAAGAGCATAGGCATTGAACAAGGTTTCCAGCAATTTAGGGACTTATAATGCAAATATGTCTGAGGGGAACAACATGGGGAAAATGAACCTAAATTGAATTTGATGGAATGAAATTTCACTGGTTTTTTCAGTTCTATTTCAAGCCCTGTGTTTAAAATGTGGGAAATCCATTCACTGCAAATTATATAACCCAGACAAACAAACAGTAAACAGCTTAATCAAGGAACCACCAATATCATTCCCACCAACACTGACAGAGCAAGCTCCTAGTATACAAACAGAGAGCAAACCCCCACTTTTTGCTAGAACTGATGATATTACCTAGTTAGGTAATGAAATGTCTGCAAGAAAACAACCAAGCTCAGAGTTGGATCTCACAGTTCAAATCTGAGCTATAGATATTCTCTTCTATTGGAACATGTATAATACTAATAATTTTACATGTTTGTGATATTGTTTATTTGACAGGACGCAGTGGCTGGGCCAAATTGTGGAGAAAATACGGTGCTCGTTTACCTCCGAATGATCTTTGTTTATATATTTCTTCTGCTGATGTTGAAGAGATGCTTGATGGTTCTGGACTGAAGTATCAGACTCATGAGCTTCCATCAGACATGGACATTACAGATTGCTTTACTGAAGGGAGCAAAACTGGGGAACTTTTGCTTGATTTTTTGACAGAAACCTATAATTTCAGTAAAACTGCCCCTCTTGATCTAAAAAATGAACTCATTGAAGATCTTAAAAAGCCTGAATATGGTGAAAGGAGAGGTGACAAATATTTTTTTAATAACACTCTGAGCGCAATAATGATTGAACATTAAAATGGAGAGATTTATTTACAAACTTAATGTCACTGTGAACTTGTTTAATATTTTAATATCTCGATTGTATGTGAAACCTGAGACAAATACAGACAGAAACACCCAAGTGGGATTTAGTATGTTGTGTCTCGAGTTATCATTAAGAGTATCAATACCAGTATGTGTTTGCAATGTTGCAAATAAATATTAATACATTAAAATTAATAAATTAAAGTAAATTAAAACTTACTTAATTGGGATGCTTATCATTATTCCTATGTGAAGGTCCCATGTTGAGATGATGAATCAGATCTTGAAAAGACAGAAGCCTATATTCTGCTTGATGAAGAAAGAGTGGTTGCCAACAAGTTTGCACTTATGACTTGTTGCAGTGCCCTGCAATTGTGTAATCACCATGTATAAACACGATTTGAAACCTTCATGTATTCACTATTTGTAACTACCCAACCTGGGGCTTCGACTGTTCGTCGGAGATAATGAGCCTTGCTGACGTCACACGCTGAGCTGTTACAGCCTGCGGGCGGTTGTAGACAAAGTGATTAGGATGCTGTCTGCTGAACTAACAATCTAGAAAGGGGTGGAGGGTCAATTCATAGGCGTAAATACAATGATGGAATATGATAGTTTGTACAAGTATAGTAAATAGGGGTAAACTATTAATGGCTAAAAGCACAGTGTACAAGGGGTTACATGGTGATTGGGTGTGATGCAGTAATGCTCATCGGATGGTGGATAAACTCATTAAGTTGTTAACTGGTGTATAAATACAGCTCTGGCTGCAAGGTGTGCCAGAGCTGACTTTAATTCCTTTTGGTTACTCGTTGTTACCTGAATCCAGAGCTTTGTATGGACGAATAAAGACTCATTTGATCATTACCTTGAGACCTTTGTTTCCCTTCCTATCTGGAATTCGGCAAAACAGCTGAGAGACGCTTGCAATGAAGGTTGCAGGTTGCTGGGGTATCAGTCCTTTTGTGTTTGCACCATGTCAGCCACTTTTGAATGCCAAAAGAGAAGTATTTTCTGAAAGATATTTATGTTATTCTTTAAAGCAAAGACAATGGATTCATATGGCTCTTATTGTTACATACATTGAATCCCCATCCACCTCATGTTATATAGATAGATATAGATATAGATATAGATATAGATGATATAGATATAGATATAGATATACATATAGATATACATATACATATACATATACATATACATATAGATAGATATAGCTATAGATATAGATTTAGATATAGATACTGTTTGCTGACTTTTAGATGTTTATAAAAATTATGCATTATGAACTATTGAGATCTTCTTGTTTTCTGAGCTTGCTTCTGTTCTTGTAGATATTTCATGACCGGTTTGGGAAACATTATCACTGCATGGGGGAATTTTTCTGGCTGTTTTTTTGTCTTATCAGTCTTGTTTGGAACATTGTTTCTTCTTTGATTGCTTTTTTGGTGAAATATTGCTTCTTCTTTGATTGTTCTTGTTTATCTGATTGCTGTTTGCTGCTTGTTTGGGTGCTGGTCAATAGAAGTCTGATGAGAAAGGAAATGTTTGCTTCTTTTCTTGACTTCTCATCACTTCTTTTCTTGAATGGTTTGTGGTTTGAGCTTATCTCAACGTGTCTCTTAATGTCTGATTCACAGAGTGTAAAACATCTAGGATCTTTTTTTGCATTTTGGGTCTAACATGTCTAGTTTCCCAATTGAAAATATGGTTGAAATTATCAGTGTGTTTTGAAACTAAGCAGTTTTCTTTTGACTAATAGTTAAAGTTCATGGATCTATTCTCTTTTCATGAACTATTGTTCTTTTTTATGACTTGTTGCATTATGATTAGGTCATTGAGGGTTTTTCTGATTTGGTTGTTTAGTTTCTGTACAGGATTTGTATTTATGAGATTGTATGTTACCTTATCATTCAGCATTTCTTATTTTTGGGGGGTGTAATGTGTTTTTTTTCTTATGAAAACTGTGGTTGGGTTGTTGGGAGGACAATGGTGGTTTGATCATTTTCTAGTGTTTTTAGGGCTGTTTTTTTTCTGCCTTGAAGTGATTCTGTTTCCTTATATGTTTGGTCAAAGGAATAATTCCTTCCTTTATGGAGGATGTTATGTTCTGAGGTAGATAAGAATGCCTAACCACCCATTCAGGTTCAGATACATCTTGGGACCTGTGAATCTTGTGATCTGAGATCATGAGGCCATCCAGTGCAGCAGTCAATACTAGCTGCAAAGGATACATTTTTTAAAATCCATCAGGGGAAGGTTTATACTTTTGAAAGCCTTCCTGTAGCAACAGTTGAGTCCTAGAGGGCATACACAATTCTTCAATTGTCTAGAGGATTTGGCAAAGTGGATTAGTTCACAAAGAAAGGGGAGGGTGTTGTTCCTCTTCCAGAAAGGAAAATTTTGATTGTATGCTAATTTGCATGCTCTGCCATTCGTTCATAGATTACACTTCCTAAGTGGCTGACATTTTCCATCTTGGAAATTCACAGGCAAGGAACTCAAGGGAGGTGGGGAGCAAAGTATTTGTTTAGCCATACAATAAGCATTCCTTCAACAAGACAGTTACAGTCTACTGAAGAAGAGGGTGATTTCTCCTTTTTTTTCTGGATTAAAAAACAATCTCTTATAACTGTTTTCCAACCTTTAATGTTTTGCTATTGCTGTGGATGCAAAAGAATGTGAACATAGGAGCACAAAGCACACAGAGAAAGTGATAATAATTCTGCTTCCAATTAAATTCTGTTGGTCACTTTCATAGTTCTCTTTCATTCTGCATTTCTCTCATTAATAGAGATCTGAAAGTGTAGTGCTGCTGGCCTGGTTCCATTGGTGAGGGGGCATTGGATAATAGTTTATGCCTCATTCTTTTAAGCATAAGTACACAGATCTTTATATTTTCATGCAATTGTTGAATATATATTGCACAATTAAACAAAGATTTATTCTAGCCATTAAAAGTCATATTTTGTTTTGCCCTATCCTTAGTGGGACATCTGTGTAGAGTAGGAAGTTCTTTCTCATCTTCAATCCAATTAATCTGGAGAAAGAGGTAGTTTTTATTTTTTATACATGGTCTCATTTCCCCCTGATATAAACAAGGAGTCTTCAACCATGATGGCCTCATTCTTGGCAAGAGGACAAAGCATGCCAAAATAAGATATAGAACTGTCCTCTTTGCCATTGGTAAAATGCAGTGAGATGAGATCATTGGAAAACAGGCAAGCTTAATTAAGGTTCATAGTCTACATAAGCTAGTTAGAAGCCTCCATGGGATGGAACTTCAATGCAGACCTTGAAGTGTGTGGGTATGCGGGTGCTCAGGGGTGGGATTCAATTTTTTTAATAACCGGTTCTCTGGGTGTGGCTTAGTTGGTGGGCGTGGCTTAGTGGTAATGTGATTGGCTGGGCATGGCCAACTCAACATCACTCATCGAGGCACGCATCTCCTTGCCTGGCCTCTCGTGACTGTGGGGATGCTGCAATAGTCATAAGTGTGAAAAATGGTCATAAGTCACTTTTGTCAGTGCCATTGTAACTTTGCATGGTCACTCCACACAAGCAAAGTACCAGCAAAAGAGGGGAAAAAAACTCCAAAGATGTTCCTGAGACAGGAAGTCTAGTCCTGCCAAGAATGTAATAAGGGTTAACGACGAGGCAGTTTCTGTAAGCAACATCAGAATGTTTCCTTCCTGCCTTCCTTACAGGGTTAGGCCAGTAATTTTTTCTAACAAGCGGTTCTCTGAACTGCTTAGAATGTTAACAACCGGTTCTAGTGAATAGGTGTGAACTGGTAGAATCCCACCCCTGTGGGTGCTCCTCTGGGGCTTCCTGACTGGTAAAAGGGCGACAGGGTCTTTCTTTGTCTTAGTATATTCTTCATGATTATTCTTTGACTGCTGTCTAATTTTACACTATTGTTATTTTCTTCTTTTGCCTTGCAATAAAACCTTAACTGAATAGTCACTGCTTGTGAATGCAAAGGAGACATCTAGAAGTTATTGAACTATAGCTCGCGGCAGCCCAAGCATGCATGGCCAATGCTAAGAGAACTTGGGAGTTACAGTTTGTGTCGGGCTCCGACTTCAGCCTTTGGAGAGCTGGCTATAAAAGAATCCATCCACCCCTTTTGAAGCTGTGTGTAGGAGATGACCAGGCTGAGCCCAAGGGTGGGGTCAAATGAGTCATCAGTTTGGAGTCACCTCATTCCCACAAGGGATCTAAGTCTAGCCCCCTATGAATTCTGTTGACTCTTATCTACCGCCAATTTGCCTTTACTGTTAGTAGTTCAGATTCTTATGTATAGGTAGCATGGAATAAAGTCGTTGTACTTTTGAACCCCACTGGCCCCTGGTTTCTTGCACCTGACATGTGTGCTCCATGGTAGAAAGTTCTGTTGTTAGGAAGCTTTTTTTTTAACATCTAGATGAAATCTGTATTTTTGTAAGTTCTACTCACTGGTTTTAGTTTCGTCCCCTGGAATACAACTCATCTTCTCCATTCCAGATTTCTGATATGGAAGAGTGATACTGTATTTCTCCTTTAATATTTGTTCCCTATCTTAAATAGATGCAGACATTCAAACTATTACCAGGACTGCATCAACATTTCCATCATAATGGTTTCCTTTCTCTAGTTCAGCTCCAGTTTGTCAATATTCTTCTTAAAAGGCAATGCCCAAAACGGGATACAATGCTCTAGATGTGTTCAGTCTATGATGAACGCTTGTGTAGAACAGCCTAAGATATTTTACAGCCTGAGCCACAGATTAAAAGGACAGATCTCCTTCTATTCCTTCTACAAAGCCTGACTATATTGGCTGGAGAATGTATTAACCCTGAAAATTTTGCCCTCAAAAGCCCAATTTGGACAAATAATACTTTCTTGGACCCACTTGAGGTGGCTACTTAATTTTGCCTAATGATGGAGCTTGCTGTCCATGGGATGGTTAAGTGAAAGGCAACCTAGACAAATCACCAGCCTCAGCCTTTTTTTCCTGAATCCCAGCCTTTTCCCTTTATCTCAACAATTCCCCCTGGAGCTAGACCTCATGGTTTGTAGACCAAATAACTTTATTTTCAATTTATCAAGCTGCAGAGTCCTTAGTGGTATCCAAAATTTTCCCTCCATGCTCCTTTCATTTGACTGGAAATCATTAAGTTACTCATCCTAAACTTTGACATATCACATCTGAATAATCTCTACAAACAAATTAACAGGGTTCTCAAATGATGTCATTGCTTCTCTCTCCCCCCCCCCCCCGAGCCTAGAAGCATCCATTTTATTATAGCAAAGTCTTTCTATCATAGACTCCGCCTCTATATCAATATATTAGTAGGGTGGAGCTTTAATGTTTCATAAGAATATACATGTTCTCATGAAAAAGATGAATATCTAATTTTATATCTTCATTTGTACGATGTGCCAAAATTGTCTTAAATATTTTGTTATGGATGGAGGAGCTTTCTACCAATTTAGGCTTCTGCTTCCTTTCATTCTCCTTCTCTCCGGTCTGGAGAATGTTAACATAAATTGTAGCATAAATCTTTGCCTTGTAGAGTAGCAGAAGGCACATATAAAAACCCATATCTTTACTGCACATATTTCCCATTAACCATAATCTATTAGTAATTGAAGTTCATTACAAATTCTTGTAGGCTTTATTGCTATCATGCTGCATGACATAGTGAACCTGGCTTGCATAACAAGAAGCCCTTGCTGGGAATATCCTATTAACAATGACAGTGCATTTGTCATTGCGATAATAAACCCAAGAACTGCCTGTAGATTATAAATTATTGTGATGCCATTTGCAACACTGTAGTTTAAAGTTTTGTCAGGCCT